ACAGATATTTTATCTTTTGCTTGTTTCTCGACGTATATAAAACTGATTTTACTACGTCCATTAATATTGACGGATTAATCGCCGGTCAGTCTGTACCGGTATGATTTCCTCGACACACCGTACCTACATAGGCCAATAAAAATAACAATACTGCGTCCAAAGTTCAACGCGTCAAACGGTTAACAATAAAAAATATTTCAATTGCGCAAAAAATGAAACTTCCCTAGATTAATGCAAACGGCGAACTCTTTTAATTTTAAACTTACGAGTAATCCCAATAAGTTGATCCCAGTAGGAAACAGTGGCCGGTACACTACGATATCCGCCACAACGCCATTAGCCTGCTAACGAAGAGTTGCCTACTTTGTACGCTATAGCAGCACGCCAACATCCGGCTGTGCATGCATGACTCAGCGGTTTATTTGTACGACGAACTTGTACCAGATCTTCGCCATATATTCCTGCAAATAATAAACAGGGTGCGAAAAGAGGTGCCTATAATAAACGGGGGTTCTAAGGGGCGCACAGAAGGGTACCATAATAATTTCGTAACGCTAATCAGTTATCGCTGTTTATTTTGCCAGCTTTAAGGGATTTGGTTCGGTACATCGCCTTAAGTTCGTGCACATCCCCGGGAACTTTCGCTGTCGGGCACTCCCAAACACTTTTCTGTATTACCTTATGGTATTTCGTAGCCAAAAGAATTGTATACGTAGGTGGGAAATCAGGTTGCGGAGTTATGAAGATACCAAAATTCCAGAAAGTTTAAATGCGTTCAGGTGTAGCAAAGCTATTCAAGCTCACAGCATAGCTAAACATGGTGATTTAGCCAACAAAAACAACATCGATTTACCCGCAGCCAGTGATGAATTAGACTATTGCACGCCCCAGTTGTGTTTTGTTTATGCTTCTTGCATTCTTTATTGGGCAAAGGCCATCAGTGTTACAAAAAGTGCATTCGCGTAATACTACTTAAAATGATTCAAATTATGCTTCTTGTAGTTTCCAGTAATAACGATCGCGATTAGTTCTTCGTCAATCGCTTCCTGTCTCAAGCATTTGATCGCCCCATTAGAGCCAGTTCTAACATTTTGCGGCACACGTTTCCTGTCTGCACAATTTTAATATCTTGGATTAATCTTTTCCAAATCATCCTCAAGTGAGTCAAGGTAATGAGAATAACAAAAAGTAAGAAGCTACAAAACAAAAATAGCAGTTAACAAAATTACAAAAATAGCAGTTAACTGAAATACGTTAATTTATCGGCAAAGCATTTTGAACTTAGCCGCAATTATAGCCTGTATTATGCACCCGTTTTCGTCTGTTTCCACTTTTGCCACTGTACTACGATAGGTTGCACTATATTATTACGTGCCGGTCGAATTTCTACAATGCTTGAAACATTCCAACGCGTTATGCGAACAGAGCGGATTACCACCTGCACCGCAAAGGAACCTGTACCGCATTACCTGGGTTAGACGTTTTTCCAACAAGCTGCGTAAACGTTGTGCGTTTTTTACGAGTTATCTTTACAACGAACATATTTCCAGAAATGTGTATTACCGCTGGAAAGATTTATTCGAGGTCAGGGTCTTACTGATTGCTAGTCAGTACGTTCTGAGCAAAGGTCACCGGTGTGTATTGTCAACCAGCCGAGTGTCAGCGACTGATTTCTACGATCTGAAGTTTTGTTGAATTACAGAAAATAAGTCAGCGAGGAAAGTTCAAGATTCCTTCAGTGGACAAAAATAATGTAAAATCACCCGCGAACAGACAATAATTGGTGACCTTGTCACGATCTAATTATTGCCGAGTTTTCCGCTCTGGTCGTCAGCAATCTGCATTAACAGTCATCGGCAAGTACTTTAAGATTCTGCAACGATATGTACAGTTGTTAACTAAGTTCTGTTTTTCTGAAGCAACCACACTAAGTGTCAGCAGCTGCCACACCAAAAATGCTTGTTTTGATATTGTTGCCTTCCCAGTAATATTTTCCAGACTAAAAAGGTGAAAAAGAAACACTGGACGACGTCAAAATCTACTTCTAGTTAACGTATTTAACACAACCGTCCTAACTTGGCTGGGTAGGGCTTTATAAACACGGAGCGTCATCAAGAGCCACCGTACTACGATATGTCCGCTTTCATAGAATACAATTTAATAGGCAATAGCCACCACAACAACAATGACTGCAAGCGCCGGCATACTACTTAATAGTTAAAATTCTGCTTTCATAGAATCAGTTGCAGTCTGTTTTCATAGAATCAGTTACAATTCGATTAAGTACTGTAGTACATGGAAGCCTTCTGGGTTAAGACGCATAATTCTTTTCGCATCAGGGGACTACGAAACTTTTGGCATCGTCGAAATCTAATCTTGCGCAGAACGTAACCTGTTACTATGCCATCCGGCGATATGACTTTGGAAACTTGAAACCTGGGACTGAATTTCAATAGCTAGCACTGAATCACGCGCAGATAATAAATAAATAAAATTGTGTACGTCATGATTCAGTTTTAAACATGATATACAAGTGCTCTATAATCCTCGAACTATAAAGCAAACAACCGCTCCAAAAAAATTATAGAGAAAATCAATCGGATAAAAACTAAAACCATTCCACAACATATGTCTAAAATAAGTGCGAAAAATTAGATGAAAATAAAACTGGGACAATTATTAATGCTTATGCGGCATCGCTTTGTTTAGTTAGGATTTAGAATACTCTGGCGACAGCTGCAGATCGAACACGCCGCTGCACTACGTTTTCTACCGAAAGCTAATACTGTATCTTTAATTTCCATTGACTTTTCACGTTGACACCAACGCTACCGGCTGCGACCGCTGCGTGACCATTGAACAAGTTGGTGGTTATCCGTAACAATTTCTTTCTATTATTACTAACTTTCTGGATGCATACCTGATTCGGCCTGGTCGGCTGTCACGTATCTGGTCATCGATCTGCGTCATGCGCAATGAACACTTAACGTTTCACGCTGCTTTTTTTTGATTCTGTTAGGTACAATCGTTTGCCCTATCTAAATTAAATCTAATTTTAAAATTCCTTATACTTCTATTAGTTCTATACGAGGACAGGCTTAGTATTCGCGATCACCTAAAAAGTAGCGAGAATTCGCGATCACCGTGCCCGGGTTGTGCAGAACAGTCAGTCACCAGCCAGCCACCTAGGGAAGGCAGTCCAGTCCAATGGCTGTGTGGGGTGTCACAACCCGCGCACGGTGTTCGCGAATTCTCGCTACTTTTTTAGGTGATCGCGAATACTAAGCCTGTCCTCGTAGTCGTACTCTATTTTCATTTTAATTCTGCTTCGTTAATTGACTGAAAATTGCTTCTGTTAATTGACTGACTGAAAAGTTTTCTTCTTTCTTTTTTCAACATTTGTTTTTTTTTAAATACGTAAGCTACCTTGGTACTAAAAATTGGCTTGCTTTATTATTCATACGAGGACGAGCTTAGTACATGTGATAGACAAAAAAACTAGCGAGAGAATCTGATAACCATGCCCGGCCCGTGCAACACGGGCAACCACCCAGGTTTGTCAGTGCTGGTAAACACATCACATTTAATACAAATAATCATCCCAGTAATACCGCACACTTTATTTCTTACAGTAAAACTTTGACTTTGTAGAACCACATGTGAAATTTCAGAGGACTCACTTTTTACCCATTCTGAAAGATTTTTTAATTTTAGTCGGAGTATTTGTCACATCGCTAAGTCCGCTACGAGTGTTTCTTTTTCGCTTATTTTTCTGCAGCAATTTTTCTGCTTCCCGTTGCTCGAGCGCTGCGATTACTTTACTGTCCGTCGCAATAAGCCCTGCTTCGGCGCGCAGACGAGAATCTTTAAGTTTTCTCTTTTTCTGAGAATGAGCGCTCATGAAATTATGGTGCCAATCTGCAGCCACTTTGTCAGCTGCAACCGATGGAAGAAAACCTTCTGCTTTAGAGATTGTGAACGCCACAATCTCTTCTATCTGTCCTTCAGTCAAAAGTGGAATTTTTCGAAGATTTGTGCGTATAACTTCCAGCTCGCTCACGTATACGGTGGCAACAGAAATGGGAACGTCTGATAGAAATTGGCTTGGAACAGGCTCTACGTAAGCTCGGCAGACCGCATCCGGGTTGAACGGATAGATTCCGGAAGAAGCAAACCCAGAAATAATATTGGCGGCCATGTTAAATTCATCCCATTCTTTCACAAGGTGACGAGCGAAGTTTTGTTTGTTAACCTACGATCAAATTTAATTTTTGGATTAATTTATCAGATTTATTTATTAATTAAAATTAGCATAAAAAATGAAAATACCTCTTCTTCAGCGATAAGGGTCATCAGTCGCAAATAATCCCGCCAATATTTTTTAACAGGGCCGTACACCTTCAGATCCATGGGTTGCAACTTCCCGGTCTGACCAGACGGCAGTATGACAACGGTAATATCTTTGTCAGACTTCATGCACTCCGATAAAACTCCAGATTGAACATATGAGAGCTGTGCCCATCGAGAAAAAATAACATTCTGAAAAAATACACAATATTATTATTTTTCAACATTGATTTTTTAATAAAATGAAAGAAATTTATGACAAATAATTTTTTAAATTTTTTAATAGAGTAAAAGAAAACACGCACTTTGCTGCCGTCATTTTGGGGATGACTTCTTCTCTGATATATGAAGTGAAAGTTGAATTATCCATCACGCCTGACGAGTTAAAGCCAATATGACATCTGTCGTCTGTGCCGTCAAAACGAGAAGCAAGGAAAACTTTGCCGTCAAATAAAATTAATGGTCGCAGAATTTCTCCAGCCGCATTGCCGCCCGCCAACACCGTGATTAGTTCGCGGTCGTTACCGTCATAGTACGAAAGGACCTCCTTTACCCCCCGCTTGGCGTATACCGTCGTCACTTTTCCGCTACCTGGAACGCTGACTCGTCAAAATTCCAGATTCCTGCAGGATCAAGCAGCAGGCCCTCGGTATTAAGCTCACTCAATCGTTGTATCTAACCCTCCCGATTCTCCACGGTCCACTCTTTAGCCTTTTTTCGGGAAACGCTGTGTGAAATTCGCTGAGCAATTTTCGGGTGCCTTTTAAGAAATTCGCGATGCCAGTATGACGAAAACATCTTTCGATTTTTGGGCACATCTGTACAAGGTAAAATTTTTGTAAGTAAAAGAAAAACCAGTAACGTACAAATATTCTCACACTAACTTCACTGAATATTCCGTCAGAAACGGACGCATTCAATTTAAAAATTAACCAATATAAATAAATGCGATAACAGTCAATAATTTAATTTAATTTTACAGGAATAATTTTAAATCTCATTTTAGTTACCTTTATATTTGGTCAGTAACGGCACAATCCGCTTTAAAAATCTTTTATCCAGAGGGATGCCGTTCTCCGCACATTTCAGCAGCAGATTTTCGATGTAGTTTTCTTCGGCTTCCGAAAATTTTCTCATATGTGCGCCTTTCTTTTCCGTACGCACGCCCTTCAGTTTATTCCAGAACGAAGAGTAAGGAACCTTGTACTTTTTCGCTGCAGCGTACTGTGACAGGTTCCCCGTTCTACAAGCTTTCAGCGCCAAGGCCATACTATCATCGTACGCTGCTGGTAAAGGCACGTCGCTGGCAGGTTCCTCCACAATTCTCACTCAACGGTAGGCCCGAAACAACGCTGATACTCGCGCAAGAAATCTCCATCGCAGGTGCAGAAAACAAACTGGCAGGTAGCCGTACGTCGGTGATATTCTCATCGTAGTACATCTTGCCAGATGAATCTTATTAATTATTTAGATGGTAATTTTATAACATTATTATCAAGAGCTTGGTTAATTAATGTCAGTCACTGGTTACTGAAAATTTTGCGGAGAACCAATTATAAACAAAGTTAGAAAACCAAAACAAAACTCGCATTTAAATTTTAATGCGAGTGTGCGTTACAGTAAATAGCAGGCCGTGTTCAGCTAACGGCTGCGTGACGGCGCGCGGCTACCGCCAGCCTAAGGTGGCTGACAGTGTTGCACAGCACGCAAATGGTTATCAGATTCTCTCGCTAGTTTTTTTGTCTATCACATGTACTAAGCTCGTCCTCGTACTTATTCCACATAATCAGAAAATCCTGTTCTGACGATCAAAATATAAGGGGAAAAATGTGTGCCGAACCAATCCCTTGTACTTCTGATGTAGGCCAGCTGGTGGTTTACGTTGTGGCTGGTCCAGCCCCAGTGTTCTATGTAAAGCGCTGCGATTAAGATTGCAGGTACTGATAACAGGTAAGCCGCACTCATACAACTGCAGGTAAACAGGCTAAAACTGTATTAGAGCCCAGACCTGCCTGGTGCAGCTAATACCACATGTACCGTCAATGCCCACTGCCCAGACATAAAACGCTGTGCAGCCACAACGCAAACCACCAGCTGGCTTACATCAGAAGTACTTGGTTCGGCTAGACACATTGGTTCGGCTAGACACATTTTTCCCCCTATATTACTCTATCGAACCTGCTAGATAAGCTCCCCTCAGCGTACAATCAAAACGAGCCGATACGCGCTTAGAACGGCTTCGTTGGTGTACCGGTGAGAAAAAAGCAATATCCAGCAAGAAATAAAGAATTTAGCTGGTTTTTATCATCCCAAGGGTATGCGGGATGAATGCCACGGCTACAATAATTTAAGTACTTAAACGTGCAATTCTTTCCAAAGTTTAGGAAACATCACTTTTTATACAACATCAACCGACCCATTTAAACTTGGATATTTGGATTCCTTGGATTTGCAACTTCTTTTCACCACAACACGAGCTGGTAAGAATATGATTATTATACTTGTGTGTTTTGCCAAGTTGGTTCTGGACTGGAGTGTGCAGTTGTGCTCACTTTTTTAAAAATAATTGACAGTCCAGGTAAAACGCTTAGCCTGCTGACAGAGTGCCATTCCCAAGAAACCTTGCAAACGATAAGAAAAAGTACTACCAAATAATGATTGCATCAGTTAAACTTTAACAAGTTCTGTATACCGGCATAAATACCGAATGTCTGAATATGAAGCCTGATAGCCACAACACTACATTTCATGCCTACAAACCACAAATAAAAATTTCAGCAAATGCTGAACTTTAAACTGATGCTGCATTCTATCAGCCATTTTCAATTATATCATTCGGCTTCAGCCCTACAATCCATCATTCGTTCGAAAAACGGTGGGTGCCACTGCGCGCGTATCGTATAAGGCGCGGGAATTACGGTGAAAAAAACGGAAATTATCCTATAGTGATCACGATCACGAAGAAATCGGTGCGAAATAGTTGTCTCTGCGACGCAATGAGTGAACGAAATTTCCCGTAGCGGAAGTGCCCCGTGAAGCACTTGGATAGGGACCTGGTCAAGTTGTTGGCGAAGGAGCGCAGGCGGCGCCGCGGCTGCGTCGGATATGTGACTGCGAGTGCTGCACGGGAATGACCTTTGCCTTTCAGCTGATGAAGGAAGCCGGTGATACGGAAAGGCTTTTCGGCCGCGGCGCAGACGAATATCGTAAACTGTGCAACGGCAATCGAGAAGTCGAGACAATCAGGGTTCGTTCACTTCATGAGCATAAGTCAACAGTTAAGGATTTTCCATCTTCCTTGCGTATAGGCACAACTGGTAATTAACGGAACCCGCTGATACAAAAAAGAGAGAGGATTCGTTTAACTCACTCAATTACTGTAACAATGCCAACACTACAGGACCAGCACAGGTCGGCGCTTTGCCATGAATTTGGAAAAGTTGCCGTGGTAAAAGCCCTCGCACTACGAGTCAACCAAGCATCACTCTGTATCGGAACATTCGCGCTGATCGTCCTGGCATTGGGATTGTGAAGCTTGCTGCAGGTGTCTCTCCAGTCGCAACCGAAACCATAAAGGATAAACGCACTAGTTAGTTGGTTGTGTACGTTGCGAACTTTTTTTGTAACAGCTGTATTAGGAAAATGCACCAAACTAGGAATTGCAGACCAAGGCGCGAGCAGCGCATATTTTCCTTCAACAAACTGACGGTTTGGTAGATCATGCATTAACTAACATCGTGATGGAACTTGCGCAATTTTCCCCACTTCATCTTCGAATGCGCTTCTCGCAGGATGCTGAATCCTATGTAATATTGCTGTATATCAGAACATTTTTCTTCGCTGTTTGCCGCTTAAAGTAATGTTGAACTTTTGAAGTAATGTTTTCCCGTGCAAGCTGCATCGATCTACTGATAAGTACATAACAATACAGAAAATAATAAATGTACCGAGAGAACAAGCCCTCAGAAATTCGTTTTCAGGCACACCTGTAATTTCGCTGGTAGGATTATCCGCTAAATGTTGTAAACTTGTAATTAATTGTCCCTGGTGGCAACGAAACGCTCGAGACAGAGAGCGGTTAATGAAGAGCCCGCGCATTTTTAGCTGAATAGTGTAACTTAATAATTATGAGTTCAATACAATACGTTGATTGCAGCCTACTGGAATTTTTTTAGCATTAATTTTTGTCACTGTTATAATTAATTTTTCTTACGATTTTTTCTCGGTTAGTTTTTGCTAACGTTACCACAATAATAATAAAGTTGCCATAATAATTTTAAACATCTACAAACAGAACTGTAGATTGCTTACGTTTATGCATTCATGCAAGTAAGTAAAAAGCTGAGCACGTTAAACTGACTAAAGTGCACTATTCACGAAACATTGTTGAACCAAGTGAGCTCACGTAGATGCCGTCTCAAAGAGTTAAGCCGCCTCAAAGAGCTTTTGGTGAGCGCGTTAGATTGCCATTAACTGGACGGTGACGTTGGTCTTTGGGAAGAGCAGTAAAAGTCCAAAAATTAAAAAAAATTAATTTAAAATTCGAAAAAAATGGTAGAAAACTGGTTCGGTACCAAAACGATCTTCATAGTAATGTGCGTTTGCATGCACAATTTGAAGAGCATCGGTTCATAATGAGACTTTTGGTACACCTTCGCGCGTTTAAACTTCTGGAATTTGCTTTCACTAATAACTCCCGAACCGGATGTTGCGCGCACATAAGGTTTTTTCGCCTATGTACACGAATCTTTTGGCTACAAAATATGATAAAGCAAAAAAAGTGTTTGGGAGTGCGCGACAGGGAAAGTTGCCGTGAATGTATACAAATTTGGTGCTATGTACCGTGCCAAATCCCTTAAAGCGGATGTTGCCCGGTCGCTTTACCGGATACGAGATGGCAGTGGAGTTCCGCCCACGGGATCGTCGAGCCGGTGGCCTTTGCGCTGGAGATTTGCGGTGTAGCAATTATCCAGTAGAGGGATCGGAATTATCGTGGCACTATTTTAGTTGACGATAGGCTGCAACAGAGCCTGCGCGGCACATAAAGATACAAGTATGCACAGAATGAGCATTGACGTAGACAGTAGGAAGAAGTGGGTATGTTACCGTATGTAAACTGCAGTATAATTAGGTATCAGGTAGGTACCAGTAGGTAAAAAAGCAGAGATGTGGATGTGCGCGCTGTCTTCGGATACACGTCAGGAGTAAAGTTTCGAGCCCACTTCTGGTAATTCATGTGCGACGTGTAGGAACAGCAGCTGCAGTAACTTTATACTACTTCCGTGAAGGCGCATGTCGGCTGCCGGGTATGAAGGGTAACAAGTGCGAGGTTGTAGTACGGTGGCAGCGATTGAACGATACCTCCATTACGCAGTACTATCGCTTGTTAAAGAAAGTTAAGTAAATCAGCCGATAAACTGGTTTCAACATATAGTAGTTTTTTATCGGCAATTTTTGTTGCCTTGAGCTTGAGGAAAGTTTTTACCTGGATACAGTCTGGGATTTAAGTCGCTAAGCCTGAAAATAAGTACCACAATCAGAAAAAGGAATAACCAATACGCCAGTCGGTAGGAAACCCGTAGAAACAAGCAAATCAAAGCAGGAATATGTTTCAAATACTAGTATGCTCCGGAATGGTGCCCATTGCGCATATATCTGAATGGACAGCCGCTGAGTAATTAATAGTCTCATAAAATCTACAGTAAATAAATTTTTTAGATCTGTGATACTTGCATAAAACCCAATACTTCATGGTTCTGCCCGAGCGTCGGAGGACACTACGAAACGGAAGCAAGCAATACGCGGCGCGTGTTGCAGTACTGTGAAATTCAGCTGTATGATAAACTTCCTGCAGTGATTTCAAATTGGTGCAGTATTATTACTGCTGCACAATGCAGCGGCGGGTAAATGTGCTAAAATGCCGGCTATCGTAGTGCAGTGACCAAATCCGCCGACAGGAGTACGTTGTTGTAATCAACTATAAAATTACCGAGTTTGCCCCCTGCATTTATCTGAGCCTGTCGTGGCTTGTCCGAAATTCAAATACTTTTTTATCTAATTTTTTTTTGTTTTGAATTTGGGGCAGAATTTTATTTTGAATTTGGGGCCCTTGCTTTCTTGATCTATATACGCACTGTGGATTGAATCGGTAGAAACTGGTTGGCGAATAATTGTCGAATTTTCAAAGAACAGCAGAATTATTGGTATTATACGTGAAGGTAACGTAACGCTTTTCGAGCAATTGAACTACCCGACAACACCAGTAAATCATTATGATCGAGCTTGGAGAGAAAAAGGCACCGTACAGCTTGCGCAACGCCGATTCCATCTTGTCACCTCAGCAGCTAGGATTTAACGTGCGTGGTGGTGCAGAGGCAATAGTACACGCGGCAAGAACGTTTATTGAATCATCAGTAGCGGAGCTAACGGTTATCTTGAAAGTAGACTTCAAGAACGCCTTTAACACCGTTTCAAGAGAGGCCGTTTTAGCTGCCGCGGAACGCCTTTTACCCGAATACACAGCGTTTTTACGAAGTGCATATGGTGATCATTCTTCGCTTTTGATCGAGCAGCTGATCATGTCGTCGGAAT